CTGGATTTATTTCGGAATGTGGATTTGGGTTTGTTTGACATTGGTGAAGTGATTTTTTTTGACATTGGTGAAGTGTTTTATTGTGCTGGAAAATTTACATGAGAGCATTGGTTAAAAATTTTTATTTTTTAATTTTTTAAAATTTACAGGACAGCTGGGGTGCAACATGTTGGAGGCTCAATTTTTTTAATAGCTTTTGTTTAAAAATCAGTTACCCCATTCAGTAGATTTTTTAATTGTCTTTTTTTAGATTTTTAAAGGGCTTTTAAAACTATGTAGGGCGGGGGAAAATTTTGGTTTCTATAATCTGTTTGGAACCCAAACCCTTGCCTGAAACAAAAGAAATTTTGGGGGATTTTTCCTACCAATAAAGGAGGCCCCGGCCCGTCGCCATATGATTGACAACCAACTTAAACAATTGTTTCCCAGTTTAGCTTAAAAGGGTTTTTTTAAAATATGGGCAATGTTAACATTTTGAGATTGGGAAAGTTTTTTTGTTAACCCAGTGAAATTTTCAGTAAAAACCCATAGCCATTTGGGGTCTGGAAAAGGCTTTAAAATGGCATTTTAAAAGTGAAAGATTTGGGAAATGTCCGGAAATTTGGTGGGGAAAAAACCACCCTTGGGCCCGGGGAATGAATTACTTTGACATGCATAGTGAAGTTTATCAAAGGGCTATTTAATTTTTTCAAGAGGGGCCAGCGACTTTATTTTTCGCCCAAAAAGGATTTTGGTATGGGAAAAGCTTTTTTACACCTCTGGGGGTGGCAATTTTAAAAATTGGGAAATTGTTTCAGGGGTGGAAGAGATGAACACTTTGTATGGTCAGGTAAAATTTTCTTTTTAAGGTACAAAAAAGTCTCCCCAAAAAAGGCATTTTTCCCTTTTCTTTGTTTTTTTTAAATAGCTTTTGTATTTTGGGAAAATTTTGGTTTTTGGTTTTCCCTTAACCTCCTTTTTTCCCCCTTTTTAAAAGGGGGGTTTTTTTGGTCTTTTTGGGCCCAAGTTTAAATCTCAATAAAAGCCATTTTCCCTTTTTTTGGGTTTCTAACTAGCTATGTATTGGAAAATTGGGGGGTTTTTACTTTTAAAAGGTGGTCTGTCTTGGGCCGAAACCCAAAGTCTTAAGGCCCCATTTTTCCCCTTTCCTTTAAACTTTACCCTCACCCCAAAAAAGAATTTTAGAATTTTTATTTTTTTTAATTAAAAAAATTTTTAAAGGGTTTCATTTTTTTACTTTTTGAGATTGCAATTGTTGTTCTGTTAACCCCATGACATTTCAAATGAAAAACCCCCCCAACATGTTGGCCGGATTTATTTGTCGGGTGTGGGGTGGTTTTTGACATTTTTGGGGAAGTTTATTTTTATTTACATTGGTGAAGTGTTTTATTGTTTCTTTGGAAAAAGGGAAAGATGGAGCATTGGTAAATTATCTATTTTTGAATTTTTGTAAGTCACCGGAAAGCTGGAGTTTTCAAAAATGTATGGAGGGTCCCAAATTTTTTTAAATAGCCCTTTGTAAAAATCAGTTACCATTCAGTAGATTTTTAATTGTCTTTTTTAGATTTTAAAGTCTTATAAAATTAAATTTGACTGGAAAAAATTTTGGGTTTCCCATAATCTTTTGGAAAACCCGCCCTTTGCCTGGGAAAAAATGAGAATTTGGGGGCATTTTTTTTCCCACCAATAAAGGAGGGGCCCGGCCCGTCGCCAAAAAGACTTGGGCAACCAAAATAAACAATTTTTCTAGTTTTTGCTAAGGGTTTTTTTAAAATATGGTCAATTTTTAACATTTTTAGATTGGGGGAAAGTTTTTTTGTTAACCCCGGGCTTTTCAGTAAACCTATAGGGGGATTTGGGGTCTGGGAAAGGCTTTAAATGGCATTAAATGTTTATGATGGGTTAAAAATTTTTTTCCCCGGGAAAAGGGTGTAAAAAACCACCTTTTGGGCAGAGTAAAAGAAGTTTCTTTTACATGCATAAATGGAAGGTTTTTATCCCAGACTATCAATTTTTCGAAAAGGTCCAGGGGACTTTTTTACTCGCAAAAAAGGGTATGGTTTTGGGAAAAGTTTCTTTTCACCCCGGGCTGGGGAAATTTGTAAGATTGGAAATTTTTTTTCAGTGTGGAGAGAGATTTAAAACTTTTGGGATGGGCAGGTAAAAATTTTCTTTTTAAGTCACAAAATAAGTTTAAAAAAGGGGATTTCCATTTCTAGGGTTTTTAACAGCTATTTCTTTGGAAAGTTGGTGGTTTTTACTCTTTTTTAAAAAGGTTTCCCGTTTTTTGTCCGAAACAATGCCTTTTTAAAGGGAAAATTTTTTCCCCTACCTTTAAATTTTTTAAAGGGCCCCCAAAAAAAAAAACAAAAATTGTATCTGTTTAATGGGAAAAAATTGGTTAGGTTTACATTTTTTTACTTTTTTTTAGATTTCAAAAGGTTTTTCTGGGTTAAAACCCCCGGGAATTTTAGGAAAAATTTGCAACATGTTGGGTGGGTTTTTAGCAAATTTGGGGTGCTGGAATTGGTTTAATGGGTTTTTTTGGGAATTGGGGGAAGGTTTTGTGCTTGGGTGAAGATTTTTAGATTTTTCGGAAAAAATTTTAGTTTTGGGGAAAAGGAATGGAACAACTTTTCTCAATTTTTCAATAGTTAAATGAAAAAGTAACCCCAGTGTTTTTTTTAAAATTTTAAAATCCATCCTTTGATAAAATTTTTTTTGCCTTTTTTGGAATTTTGAAAATTTCATTTTTTAAAAAAAGGGGGGGTTTTTGAAAAACAAAAACAAATTGTTTCTTGGAGCAAATTTTAAAAAAAAATTTTTGTTAAATTTGAATTTGGAAAAAATTGTTTTTAACCCATATTTTCCCTTTATCCAAATCGGGAAAAAAAGAAAAAAAAGGGTGGGGTTAAAAAAACCCTTAAAAATTTTATTGGACATGAAAAAGGGGAATTATTTTTAATTTTAAATTTTTCCAAGTAAAGAAATAAAAAAAAAAAACTTTTTTTAAAAATTTAGTAAAAAAATTAAAAAAAAAACAAGAATAATTATCACCATTGTCTAAATACACACACGCGGTTATTAGAAATTTTTTCACAAGTTGAGCCGGTTGACGTTTATATACACGGCTGCTGTCAATTGATAAAGAAATCTCACTTTTTTCTCTAAAAAAGAAGTTTGCAGTATTATAAATTCCTTATAAATATTCCTGACAGGTTATATGGCCAAATATAAATGGTTGTTTGCAATATAACCCTCGCCTAGCGGCTCGGCGTTGTATTTCCAAACAACCATTTATATAGGCCCATATAACCTGTCAACATTCTTTATAACTAATAATATAGAGATAAAAACAGTACTGCCGATCTACTTTGGATAATATTGGGTATTGAATAAAGGGTTGTCGAATAACTTTGGTTGGACTGTAAAAGAAATCCTTGTGCAAAGCCAGATATTTCTTTACTTCATTTATTTATAACTTGGATGAAGAGAAATTTCTGTATAGGTTCCAAAAGATTTAAATATCAAGCTATTAATCCATGTATACATCAGCAAGCCTTAAAATTATCTTTGTATCCCCTCTGCGACCCATACCTGAGTTTTGGTAAGGTTGGCCGATAACATTTTTTTTATCCAAAATATTTTTTCCTTTCAAAGTTATATTGAGTTTAAAAGAAATTGTGAATGTTAAGCATTTGTTAAAAGGTTAGAACCATATTTTATTCAACATATCTATCCAAATTTTATCTCTACAATTAAAAACATGGGACTAATATAAAGATATGACAGACTTGTTGGCACCCTCTGCTTCTTAGAGTTTTGAAGCATAGGAATTGACCACAAAGGCTGTAGGCCTGAGTGGTAAATTTTCTCTCATAATGACGAATGCTATTTTACCTAGTAGACATTACTATGCTGCCAATTTTTGTAAAACATTGTTCTATTTCACACCCTACTAACGCTAAGGTTTAAAAGTTATGAAACAAAATAAAAATGATTAGAAAACAATGTTTCACCTTATTATTCAAATGATTTTATCAACTTTTCAACAATTTAAATTTAAGTGTCAGACTGTATTGTTTTGAATTTACATCAGTGCTTGATAAGTCATTCTTTAAACCCCACAAATGTCAGTTTAAAATGATGTCATTCGAGCACCTTTATGAATGAGTTGTGTACTTAGGATGATGTCATTATGCTGTTTACAAAATTAATTGACGCTGACGAGTCTTATATAAATTTTATCACTTGATATAGATGGAACCGGCGGCGTTAGTGTTTGCGCTATGTTATTTTAGCATCATATAAGTAAAAAAATAATTAAGAAAAATATTAGTAAAATGCGATACTTTACAAAGCTTTTTTAGGGCAACAATATCTTTTAAATCGAGGGAGAAAAAATGACAGCCGCATAAACATGTAGTCCCTATCCCTTTTATCGGCAGTTTTACACCGGTTCTTTTTGTGTATGAGAGAATGGTCTTAAAGTTTGAACACAAGTTATTGGTCTAGACCTACATGAAATGACACACAGAAATAATTATATCCAGTCCTGTTATGTCAAAAAACTTTAGTAGAGTCCCTTTAAGGATCAAGAACTCACCTCAGAGCCTCGTGCTCAGCTTTTCTCAGTACTTGATAGTAATGAGAATGAGGCACAATTCTGATAAACATTTTGGCAGAAGTTTAGCCTTGTTATTCAACAAATATTTCTAGTTTGAAGTGAATATGTATGATGTATTCTGAGAAAATTATGAAAATATAAAACAAAAAGGTAAAGTTATCTGACCATTAGAAATGTTTCCATTATACAAGAACGGCTTAGTGTCGGAATTATGGCCTCTTCCTTTTGTATATGTTTTGGGTGAATTTTCATAATTTGTGGACAATTGATTCTCCTCTAGTTATTTCCATTTCCTTTCCAATTAATCAAAATTATTTATTTTTTCAAATGTATTGATTAATGATCTACAAAAATATCAACAATACTTTCATATTGTCTCTATCGATGACAGCTTCTATTTGTCACAGTTACACATATGGCAAATTAGAATGCATATGATTTTCATGTTGTAATTATAGAGAATTACATGCTACTGCCTTTTGCTATCAATTTTTGGCTCATTTTGATAAAAAAATTTCGGTCAGCTTTTTTGTAAAGATTCATATCCAATAAGCTATCATATAATTGTAAGTATCCACTTAAAAAATGCTGTATTAAATTGGTATGATTTTTTAATTGACAGATAACTCTGACTAGTTGTGCTTAATTGTCTCCCTTTAAATTTAAAATAGTTTCTTTATATTTAAAAACAAAAAGCAATACACATTTGCTATAAACTTGAAATCCTTGGCTGCTATCAAGGACAAGTAACTCTGCCAGGCACTTTTTCTGAATTATGCCCCCCTTTCTACTTTCTTTTTAAATAGGAGCATGCTTCTGTGGACAGGTCTTGACAGGTCTTATTATTTTGATAATTTGGTGGCTGGTAGTTTTCACTCCAGATCACGGCAATAAGCCACATTGAATTTACCAGAGTTCAATTTGGCCACTACATTGTTCCTGGACAGGCTGTCATGCATGTTTACCAGTACTGATTGCCTTCACTTACACAAGGAACTGATAACTTCTGAACATGCCAGAGCAGAAGTACAGTGTGAATGACCATAGAAAGGATTTCATCATCAATCACAAAGAAAGTGACCTGCACTGTCGGAATCAAAATTGGGTCGCCCGATTCATAGTCCAACTATTGAGTCCACCATAGCCTATTGAGCTAACGGACGTCTTTTTTGATAATTTGTCAAATTAATGCCATTTGTACTCTTTGTTGATTCACTAATTGGTCATCATTCATGTTAACCAATTCTTCTGTATTTTTCTTATAGGAGATCTGATGGTTCATCGGAAAATGGTGTAGTGTGTGTGTATGTTAATCTGACGGGATAATGATTACATTATATAGTAAGAAAGTTTAAATGATTTACAAAATGTATTAACATTTATTCCGTGTAGAAGTTGTAACTAAATTATACTTTTTTCTATTTCCTTGTCGACCGAGAAGAACCACTGACCTTTCATAGATATATCTTTAAACTTTAATAAGTATAGAATTTTGCAAAATATCTAATAGTAAATTATTTATCAGTTAAAATAATTTATTTGGATATATTAGTTGTAAAGAATGTATAATGTACAATAACTAGTATTTCTCTTTTTAAAATATAGTTGTTAAATGGTGAGTACTAGATGATATTTTCCATCAAGTTATCAAGACGGTAAGAATTGCAGTGGTTTTAGTCACTCAGCAGTGTGAAAGACAAGGCAAGTACAGAACAGAGAGGTAAAATATTGAAAAGGTGTAATATTGTATTTATTGTGGTGGGAGGGACATAAATAAATGCCATTATGAATTATATGTTTCGGTTAGTGTTAAATTGTGAAATGAATAGAACAGGGTATAGTGAATTGCCTGGAAAGAAATGAGAATGAAAACATTGTGAAGTTTTGAGAATGGAAAAAGGGCATGAAAAGTCAGTGCAGTGAAAAAAGGAAAGTGTTGGTTGAAATATGAAAGAAATGAAGTAACTACAAGAGGTCAGCAATAGACATTTTTGAAAAATGGAGATGTGAAAGTGAAAAATGAATGAAAATAAATGGAAAGGGAGAGAATACATGGAGATTGGAATGGAAAATGAATGAAAATAAATGGAAAGGGAGAGAATACATGGAGATTGGAATGGAAACAATTGAATAATAGTCAAGGAAATGGAATGAACTAGAGGAGAGTTGAATGAAATGAAATTTGACAGTGAAAACAGTTCATCATGTATGGAAAGCGAATGAATAAAAAAGAAGATAATTCGGTTGAGAAAATGTAGATGAAAAAGATATAAAAACATTTGGCTTTCTAGACAGATCAACTTTCTGTAGTTAATTTCAGGTCTCCTGGCATCCATGATTGTTGATTGTTTGCACGTCCCAATCATAGTTCTGCCTTGAAGGGGAAGTGCAGATATGACAGATTTTCTACTTTATTCTTATCTAACTTTATCTCCATCTTTACAAAACTCTTTTCTGTACAAAGTTTCCTCCAGACAAGATTATGTAGGTACGGACCATTCAACATTGACATATACCAGTTGTGACAAACCTCTCCATCAAAACATTTGATCTTACTAGCTTTTGTAATGACATTGATCATGACATTGACCAATTTACAAGACTTTACGAACCAGTCATGGCTTTCCCAATAGTTATTAATTGGGGAAGCTTTTTGACTAATTTACTTTAACTACCAGTACTAGGCCTATGCAACCTTAGACCAAAACTTTTTCCGGTTATTGGTCAGACAGAGACATTTGGCATTTATTGAAGCTCTTTGGCGGCTGTTGAATGGTGGGAGATGTGTACTTGTGACTTAAACCTCAGTGTCTATTCTAGGACTTGTTAATGCGGGATTCACACTATTTTTTCAAAGATTGCGCACATTTTGGAAACGCGTGTGTGAAATCCTGCATCTGAATTCATCAGTTTTCTCAAAAAGCATAAAGGTCTAGACAACTTATTTTGTTTACATGAACACGGGGAAGTCAAAGGGAGGTAATTGTGTACTAAATAAACAATCTCCTACACAGTGATCTCCCCTTGTTAGTATAGTGATTACAATCTGCCAAGGGAGGTAATCACTGTGAGGAGTTTGCTAAATAAAATCAATATTTTTCGTTGACAACTCCTTTTTCTATAAAGTTTGTAACGGCACTTTTAGAATCTGTTTGCAGCAAAATTCATGTTCAATAATCCTAACTCTAACCCTAACACATAACACTAACCCTTACTCATAACTCGATATTAATAATAATGTGTAATATGATAAAAATAGCTGCAGACATATTCTAGTTGAGTCGTCCCTGATTTGTTTCTATGAATAAAAACCCAATCTAGCTGCCTTTTTATTTTTTAAGAAAATAAAAAGATTAGCTCTGGCTTGATATAAACAACATTGAATTTTTTTACACAATTACTCTTTTACTGGCACCCCTTGTTTTGCAAACCTATTTTTTAATTTTGGGGGGTGGTGGGAATTCACCCGTACTTTTAAATTTCTAGAATAGATACTGAATCCTACGACTAACTGTGACCAACCCTACAACGTACAGTGACTGACTTAAATCCATTCAACATTTCAGAGCTTCAAGGTTTTGACAATCTCAACACTTCTCCCAATGCTGCCTAGTTTTAAAACAGCACACTCCCAGATTCATATTGTTTCAACCTGTAATATTTTATTATATGTCTAAATGATTTAGTATAATATTTAGATTTAATATTCTTTAGAAAACTTAAAAAGTCAGAATTAAGACAATGTTTCCATTTATGTAAGCAACAGTGTGTAATATTTAATTAATATTAGAGTAAAATATGTACATCAATACTATTTATTTGCCATAAAAAAAGCAGATTTTGACTCGAATTGAAAAAAGTATAATTAAAAAAAATAATCCTGAATTCAAAAATTAAAACATACACGGATGTGTGCAGTTTTAACTACTAGCATGTCCCAAGCCATGGTAAAAGCAGAGGGGGGAGAAAATAGTCTTGTATTTGAATTGTTTTATTACATTTTAAACACTATACATTTTGCCCATCGTATTCATTATGTGTAGAGTGATTTAGGTTTTTGAGCCTCGGATAAAATATTAACAACCAAGTTGTGATAATTATGTTCTTTTTACATTTGTAGATCTGACCACGGTTATTGAAGTGAATGTAATATGTCAGCAAGGAAAAGCTGTGTGAATTTATTTGATTCTCTTAAGAAAGACAAGTTTATTATGTAAGCAATATTAAAAAAAAATCATTTTGCCCAACAATATTGAACATGTTTTTTTTATAACAAATTTTGTTGTGTATCAACATACACACCAAAATCATTTCATTTGAAATTGCATATAAATAAATTTGACCCACAAATGTTCATGACCATGTTTATTCTGTTGACACCAAGTCCGTCTGCTTGTCTAGCTCATTAGGGAGAGCATCATTTTCGTAATCCTCACTAGGAGCCGCTGGTTCCATCCTATGGCATGGCATAATTTCACCATGGCAATAGATGTTATCCGGAACTCGGCAAATGTGAGTTTTTCTAAGCTTAAATCTACCGGTACAAACTATTAAGGTTATTTCTTTACGGTGCACTACTGGTCACGATTGTCAACCTATTGCACCTATTTTCAAAGTTGTAACTGTAAAAGTTTGTTTAAGCTGGGAAAAAACAAAAATATTCTTTTATTCCGTAGTAAGTCTGTTGATCTCAGATATTGTGTCGATTGGTCATTTAATTGTCTCTCACTGTTGATTCTGAAATCATTTTTGAGATTAGTAGTCGGTTCACTTGTTGAGAAACTGGTTAGTTATCCAGGAATACCCATTATGGTGTTCAACCTCCAAGATGTGGCCATAAACATGTTTTGGTAGTCTTAACTTAATGCTTTGCCGCCAAAACAATTCTAACATTGGCCAATATGGTAGCAAATCGGTTATTTACCCAACTATTTTCTCAGAATCTTTAGCAATAGATTATAAACAATCAATCATCCTTTATCACTATGTACTAAATTCTGGTTATTAATGGTTGAACATTGTTGGATACCAAAAAATTTGAAAAATAACGTTCCTGAAATGACTGATTTATTACGATATTGGCTGATGTTAAAACAATTTTTGGCAGGAAAGCATTGCAGTAAGACTACTTAAAGTCAGAGTTAAATCCAGAAAGATAATAAAAAAATTTACACCCAGTAAGTACTGGTAAGTTCCAGGAATTTTACTTTAAATGGTTCAAATAAGCAATATACTTTGTTCACTATCAACCATATATAAATGATGATTAACCTTAAAGGCACTCCACTGAGGTCCAATAGCCTTAAATAATAAATTTGAAATTCTTTCTTACATCAACTGGTACACTTAAATTTGAAACCAAACAATAGATGATAAATAAATACACACAGTATTAAATTGATAATTGATTTTTTATGCCATTTTTGGCCGATTTGAGTGAAAAGCGTTGCAACAGTTTTCATTTTTTGGACCAATTTGCACAATAAAATTGATTGTTTCTTGAAAACAGAGTAACACATCTAGTTATACAAAAATCTTGAAAAAAGTATTTTCGGCCCCTTCACGTCGGAGTCCCTTTAATTACAAATGAAAATGTTACCAGTAAAGATGGATCTAGATTCATTTCAAGGACAGCTAGATTATCTTTGTCAATTTTGCCGTCATATTTAAACCATCATTTCTGTGAGTGAATTTAATATCAAGGCTAAAATTTGTAGTGTAAAATAATCTTTGTGTACATGTAATCTTTTTCATGAACATCTTGGAATCAGAATCAATTATGAAAAATGATATTCTTATAAATGATATTGAAAATAATATATATCAGCATTTTCCTTACTCTAAATTGATATTTAAAGCTACCTGCCTCCAAATGAGTCAATATTTTTCATTAAAATCAAGCTTTCAGTACAATTTTTAGAAAAGTAAAAGCATCACGATTCAAGTAATAATTTACATGTGTGCAATTACGGACTGATTTCCTTGTAATTATCACCATATTTCTTTTGTGTTGCTTACAATTTGCAGCATTCAGAGCTATTTTTGCATATTTTGTCCTTATTTTGGTAATTTACATGAATTGTAAGTGTCTGCACTCTTTGTCCACTTAATACTGTTTTACTTTGAAATACATTTTCATGGAAATTGGCATAAATCTGGAGGCAAGCTGCTTTAAGGATAGAAATTCCTTCCTTTAAGAGCAGAAATTCTCAGTATTTTACAGGGGTTTAGGTTTGCAAAAAACATTTTTAAAGATATAAGTAAAATATTAAGCAGGTGTCTGTTTTAGAGCCTAAAAGTAAAATATTTATATTAATTATTTCTTTTTCATGTATATTCTATTATAAGGAACTCGGGGAATGGGACCGCAAATTGCGGTTTATTTTCCTATCCTGCAACAGCTTTTAAAAATGCTTCTCACAATTATCTTAATATCATTTCATATTATCCGAGTGTATGACCTCTAAGAATATAATATCATTTAACATTTAGACTTGCTACTTAAAAAAGTGGCCAAATTTTATGGTTCCTTTTTCTATTATGGCTCTTGATTTCACCTATTTTTTTTAAACTAGCAGATTATAAATTTGAGATTACTTACTTTCAAGACAATTTCAATTGGATTGATATGAAAATATATTTCAAATTCAGACAAACAAAAAAGTTAAAGCCTGGTAAAAGTTAGAAAGTATGCACCGCAGTATGCTGTCCTATTCCCGAGTTCCTATAGTATTTTGAAATTCTAAAAACTAACAATAAATCTGTATCTTGTTGATTACTAGGCCACAAAGAAACAGTTGTTGCCTTACTATAGAAGTTCCTCCCATACATTATCCAAGATCAAACCTTGGTAAGTTCTTAAGACAATTACTCAAGAAAATTGTTGATCACTTTAAATAGGAGGAAGAGGGCTTTGGTGGCCAAGTGAAAAAAACAAAACATTTTCCCCTCAACACTGTTTTTGAATTCTGCAAAGGACATCAGATTTTTTCCATATGATATGTGAATATTTGTATAATGCTTTGAGTAGCAAAATAACTTAAGTAACCAAGACTCAAATTCTACTATACATATGTAAGTAGTTAAAATTGTTTCTCCCAAAGACAGTTTTCATTATGAATTATAAATAAAATATTTTATTTACAGAACTGATGCTTGCTGGACAAGTTGTTTAACATTTGATAGAGGATCTACATGTGAATTGATAATGTGACATTAAACATTTTATATCTATGGCAACTGATTAATACAGAGTGGTGTGCTTGGCAGTGCCGTGAGGGGGACGGATAGATTTAGCATGTTGATTGATGTGTTGCATGCAAAACAAAGATATAATAGAACCAATTAAGACATTGTTTATGACTCAGGTAAAGACCATCAACTTGAGCAGTTTTGATAAAAAATTTATTAAACATTCATTATTATATTAGCTTGTTGAAATTAGATCACCCTCTTTGCCAAATTAATTGTTTTACCACAAGGCAGCTGAGAAACATAAGGAAAATGGGGCCAATACAAAAATAAAACATTTTGATTGGTATAGAAAATGGGGCGAGTGTAAGAAGTTTGAAATGTTAGATGTTTTTAACACATTTTTATATGAAACATTAATATTGTTTTTAGTCCCTTATCAGTTTAACTAGATGTGACCAGGTTTACCCTCTGTCCTTCTGTATGTCCATCCGTCCACGAAACCTTATCCCGTGGTGATGCAAAAAGTACTGAATACTTTAATGAAGCTTGAAATATAGTTAAATAGCAGTCTGGAAATTATGAACATCTTCTTTTCTTCTTATGTTGAAAAATTTGGTTGCTATGGCCACAAAAAGACTTAAAATATGGAAAATATAACAATATTTGTGATTACTCAAAAGTACAGAAAACATTTTTATGAAACTTAAAATATAAAAAAAGATGGCATCATGACCGTATGGAAATTATGCATGTCAAGCTTCACAACTCTAGCACCAAATTTATTAGATTTACCCCCCTTGAACTTGCAATTTTCTTAAAAAAATGTTGTTGCTTTTTTTTTTATACAACTTCTTTATTTCTTAACATACCTACTTCAAACATTGAATATATGTTTCTTATCACACCCACTTCATATGTGGCATTAGGTCCATTATTCTAGCACCTTTATAATAATCAGAATTATCATCCTTAAATTTTCATTTTTAACTTGGAATTGATTTGAAAATTGTTAGATTTTTTTTTAATTTTCTTCTTTGTTACTATTAATGGTATATTGTATTTTCCATTGCAATGTCATGTTGTATTTTGGGCCGGAGTACTATGTTACAGAAATAAACTTTACTTTTATTTATTTGAAAATTGTTAGATTTTTCACTTTTCATCTTAAATTCTATAAATGGTATCTACTTGAGATTTAAGATTTGTTGTATAAACATAATTTCCTCATAAATCATGCACACATTACTATGATACAGATAAACAAAGAACTCCAAAGATTGAAGTTGATTCATGTCTTCCACAACGGCTAAATTGAAAATGTTGCTTGGGTTCTTACCAGTAGGGGACTTTTATATTACTTGCAATACTTTGATAATTGCTTGTTATTTTTGATATTTATTTCTGTTTCCAAGAAATATTTCATCAGAACAATAACAAAATTGAATGGGCATGTAATCAGATTTATAATATCAGTCTAAAACAGAAAAATGAAACATTTTTTTTATATTTATCATTTAAAATCAAGTTAAACTGCACAGAAACACAACACATATTTCCTTTAGTTAATTATGTGTATTATATATGTTCTTGTTTTAAATATTTTCAAATGAAGTACTGCTGCAGATTTTTTTTTTTATATATAGATGAATATGACATTATGATTAAGTATATATTAATTGTTAGTAATTTACAACCTCTGTATAGCAACCACCCTTATGGGAGACAAAAATTTTGGTTGCAGGCAAGAGATATTGTCAGAGGTTACATTTATTGTAAAGTTTTGTTTTGGGAAAGAAATGATAATAAAATGTTCTTGCAGGGGTTACATTTAATTTATAGTCTTACTTTGGGAAAGTAATGAAAATTTTGTTGTAGAGAGGTGATTGCTCTACAGTGGTTTATTGTAAAGTCTTACTTTAGGACAAAAATGATAATGTTGTTGTAGAGGTGTTTGTTCTGCAGAGGTAACTTTAAAATCTTTCTTTGGGAAAGAAATGATGTTGTTGTAGAGAGGTGATTGCTCTGCAGAGGTTACATTTATTGTATAGACATACTTTAGGAAAGAATGTTATAAAGAGGTAAAAGTTCTACAGAGGCTGCTGTAATTCCTGTCATCATTACATTAATTAATCAACTACAAAACAAGGAGATTAACTTTGGAAATATATACACAGTGTTGTAAATTAATTAAATTGACATAACATGAGTGATATTTTATATTGACTCATTATTTGTCCTCAGACATTTGTATTGATGCTTGTCTTATGGCTAATATAAATATCTTTACCTTGTAAAAGGGTATCAACTGTGTTTTTTTTTACATAATGGGACTGAATATAATTTTTTTGAGATTATTACTCAATTTCATGAAAAGGATCAATATGAAGCTGTAAACAACATTAAAGTTTTGGTTCAAATTTACTTCATACTTCAGCCTTCTTATCATGGATAACATTCAAGTTTGGCAATATTAAAAAAAAAAAACAAGAACAAAAAACTATTATTTTGAAATGAGATTGTTGTATGATGTAAGGGAGAGAACTCTTGCACAACTGTACAAGTTTTATTTTTCAAGGGGAAACAACTCTTCTGATATTTTCCAAAAAAGAGATTACTCTCCCTTTTTACACATAAAATAATTGTAGAATTGTTACACTACAGATTTATTGCTCTCATGAATTTGAAAATCAACTATTTCTGATACAAGAATGTTTCATTTGAAGATTGTTGATTTGTTTTATCATATATGAAATTATTTGTTTAATAAAAGGCCTAGTTGACAAAATGGTTGAGCAGGCCAAACAAAATTAATTGTTGTTCATTGTTGAATTGTCATAAGAGTCAAGTCAGTTGTTTCACCTGGGTTACATTCCGGAAAAAGTTTTGGAGGTTTGGGCTCTTACCCTGCTGGAAATTGAAAGTGGAAAGCTAGAGCCAGGCCCATGTTCACTAAGATTTTAGGATCATGATCAGGATCAAATTAAAAAATCTCAATTATTTTCCATTGTTTATCCTCATTGAATTAATATTTACTTGATAGAATTGGACTTTAAATAGCCTGTTTATAAAAATTTAGAATAAATATATTGTTATTTAACAAGATATAGGCATTTTGGCAGTTGACCCAAATATTGTTCCTGATCCCTAAATTGATCCTTAATATTTTGATCTGATGATATTTGTTATTTGTCGACATCATCCCAGAAAAGGCTTGTTTTTGTGCAAATCAGCAATTTTTTTACACTTTGTTTATTATACCATTTAATACTAGGACAACACTAGGAAAACTAGGATCATTTGTTCGTGATCTTGTGTTAGTGAACATGGGGCCAGGAGGCCAACCGGAGAATCCATGCAATCTGACCAGGATCTTTTACTAGTGCATTTTGACCATGATTGAAATCTCTGAAACTTTGAAGGAATGGACTGCTTCAAATACAAAAACAGTGCAAGGTCAAGGGTTGGTTATTAAATATATTAGCATACCATTTTACAAATGAATAAACAATTCCCTTTAAGGAGAGGAAATGAGTATTTTAGAGCATGTTGGTTGTTGATTACCAAAAGGAAGGAGTCATGAATGTGAGGTTGTTTTTATTTTTAAAAAGTAGCAAAATGAGCCGTGTCACGACAAAACCAACATAATGGGTTTGCGACCAGTCTTATTTGGATATTTATTTTATCATTTTTAGCTCGACTATTCGAAGAATATGAGAGCTATTGTAGTCGCCCCGGCGTCGGCGCAGGCGTCCGTGTCGGCGTCTGCGTTTGTTAAAGTTTTTTGTAAATTCAAATATCTCGATTATTGCTTGAGATATTCAATTGAAACTTACAATACTTATTTATAGTAACAATATACATCAGATTGACTAGTTGGATAACTCTGCCTAATATATTGACAAAATTATGCCCCTTTTTAACTTGGAAATTTTGGTTAAAGTTTTTTTTTAAGTCAAATATCTCAATTATTGCTTGAGATATTCAATTGAAACTTACAATACTTATTTATAGTAACAATGTACATCAGATTGACAAGCTGGATAACTCTGCCTACAATATTTACAGAATTATGCCCCTTTTTAACGTAACAATTTTGGCTAAAGTTTTTGTAAATTCAAATATCTCAATTATTGCTTGATATATTCAATTGAAACTTACAATACTTATTTATAGTAACAATGTACATCAAATCGAAAAGTTGGATAACTCTGCCTATAATATTTACAGAATTATGCCCCTTTATAACTAAGAAATTTTGGTTTAAGTTTTTTTTTGTAGTCAAATATCTCAATTATTGCTTGAGATATTCAATTGAAATTTACAATACTGTTTTATAGTAACAATGTACATCAGTTTGCAAAATTGCATAACTCTGCCTGTAATATTTGCAGAATTATTTGCCCCTTTGAAACTCTAAGAAATTTTGGTTAAAGGTTAAAGGTCTTCAAAGATATTACTTGAAACTTTACACATGTACTTAGGGTCATAATTGGAGAGTCATAATTGAATGTCACTGACCAAGTTCCATAACTCTACTCGCATTTAGGCTGATTCATCTCCCCTTTTCTACTTAGTCTCTTAGTTAATGTTTACATGCAAGCATTACATATCTCAATAACTATTAAAGATATTTATTTAAAACTTCACATATGCATTTAAAATCATAATTGTAGGTCACTGACCAAGATCCATAATTCTATCTTGCATTTAGGCTGATTTTTCTCCCCTTTTTCAACTTAGAAATTCATAGTAAAGTTTTGCTTGTAAGCTGTTTTCTTCATAACTACTGAAGAGTTTGTGCCTTTTTTGGGACATTTTTATGCATTCATAATAATAAAGCAGTGATTTACTTGATAAAACATCTTAATAACAAGCCTGTGTACCTTTTCGGTCAATTTTATGTATTCATAGGTAACTAGCATTATTATACTCAATAAAACACCCTTGTGACAACATTTTGAATAGTCGAGCCAATACTGTCCTCCGACAGTTCTTGTTAAATAATAACATCTATTGCAAAGTTTACCTATACAAATTCCGTGCGGGTACACAACATATAATCATCTTTATATACCTAAAAAGAATGACATTTATTGTGAGTTTTTTATTTCAACATTTGGAACTGCTTAAAAGAAATCAGATTTTAGAGTTTTTATGATTTTAGCTCTCTTCAGAATGTGTGTACTTCAGAATGTGTGTAGTAACTTTAGCTGCACAAATATAATGATTATTGGTAGGAAGAATGTTATTGATATATTTTGTCGCTATTCTTGAAAAAAAAAAACAGCGCGCGCAGGTATAAACATTCTCATATTTTCATAGTCAAGTTGAGCTGAATTGTATTTGTATTTCTAAAGATTGACTGTCAAAATGGTGTTTGACCAACAGTTGATATTGTAAAATGTTTAGGATAAAATTATAAATCTGCCTAAAATTTAAAAAGACTGCCCCACTCTTTTTATAAACTAAGCGTTATTCGTAAATTCTAACGGATATTTACAAAAATTTCATTTGAGTTGGGTGTTATCTATTGTTTATGTGAACTTAATTATTAAATTAAAAGGGATTATGGCAAAATGAAAACATATTTTGATCTTCACCCGTTCACTCACTATATACCCCTGGATGGGCATGAAGATGAAAATGAAGTTTGACGGACGTACAGAGCCGAGAAGTTGCGATAGCTACCCGTATATAGTCAGCTGTCAAATGACTTAAAACTAGCACTATATGCAAACATAGCACAATGGGGATATGGATATTGAAACCCGGAATTACCTATTAAGACTTATACTTTAATGCCAGAATAGCGTTGATGAACTTTTTTGAAGTGCATAAAAATTTATAAAAGCCCTCGAACGTAATCATGTTCTTCAATTACTTCCTCGTGCTTCTGCAGATGCTAATGCAAAAATGTACATTTATCCTCAATTATTACTATATAATATCCTTAAATAAGATTTGAAGTTTTAAAAAGAGATTCACAATACTATTACAGTTTCACTCTGATGTATATAAAT